TGAAGAACGTACAACCATTATTTCGCCCGTAATCGGAGAAGCAAAAAGTTGGAAAACGCAATATGTGATTATTCGTATAACCAGACGTTTCCTTAAGGTATACGTCTGTTTAATGTTTTAAGTAATAATTATTTTGAACTTTTTTTTCACATTTATTTTATTCAGCGTGTAGCTCATAATTTATTAATGTAAATCGATATGTATGTAAGCATAAAATATTAAAACCTATAAAATAATAGGTCAATTCACTCTAATATATTTATTTGAGCTAACGACACAAAATTGGAACGGCTGGATGTACATTTTGAAGTGCTAGCTCATTCAATGTTGGTTGTATCGTTTTGAAATCTTCAAGATTCAACTCAGTGACACCTCGAGATCAAATTTCTGTTCTCAAAAAAGCCACGTCTCGATTTTAAGTTTGAGAAATTGGCAAAACAAAATTTCCTACCAATTTGTATTTTGAAAAATTCAAATTTTGAACATAACATTTACTCCCTTAACAATTGAGTTAAACAACTTTTACCAGATGGCAAATGATCTAAGCATCTACTTCGATCCTTGAAGGTTTCAAAAAGATAGGACTTTTAATTAAGGATTTAGGTTTTTAGATAGGTTTTTCAAATTCGTATTATATCGAAAACCTAACCTTATGATCTAGTTGTTGCCTTACCTTTGCCGTGATCGATAAATGCAGAGGCGTAACAAAAAATAGTATGTGTGGCTCGTGTGGGAGCCGGGAAGGCAATTTCAGTCTTGCGCGAAATGCGGCCTTCGCCTACGGCTCGTGCCGCAACACACGTTGCCCGCGACTGAAATAGCTCACTTCCCGCCCTTGCCACACAATATACTATTTTGAGCTGGGAAATGATCTAGGGTCACATAACATACATCAAAATATTTTTAAAAAATTTATTAATTTGTATACCTAGTGAAAAAAATTACAAGGAGGGAGGTTCAACACCCAAAACCCCCTATATTATACGTCACTGTATCTTAAAAATAAAATGTCTTTATATTAATAAGTACCTAGGTATAGTTTGTAAGTTTTAAGAAATATTTTCTTATTTGATATTTCCTACTAATATTTTCCAAATAACAAATTAAACGTAAAATATCATTCCTGTACACGGGTTTTAATTATCCCGAAATTATTTTTCCTGAATATAATATTCCATGTGTTATTATTATAATATTGTAATATTATAACACCTTTCATGTATTAATCATTCCTAGTATTCAATTTCCAAATATTTATTTTCCTGTGAAATATATTTCCTGATAATAACTTTCCTGTTTATTATCATTCCTTACAACGCCTTTCCTGTATTTATTCCTGCAAATTATGTTCCAGTGCATTATTTTCCTGTGTTTTACAGCCCCCCCCCCCGAGTTCGGGGTATTTATTTTTTATTTATTTATTTCAAACATTACGGGCAGAGCCCAATTACATTACAAGTGTACACTAAGTATAAAATTACATTTAAATATTTAAATATTAATAATTACATTTTTAATAGAACAGTAAATAACAATTATAACAATAAGATTAGTTTAGGTAGGGAATGATGGTTGTTCATTTGCTATGCGCATCATACGATAGATAGGATTATTACGGCTGTAGTTTATAGAACAATTTGGGATGGAGAAGGTTGTATAAGAACGGAGGGAACGCTGTGGTACTTTAAAATTGATACTGGAGAGAAGAGTGAGGGCGTCTATTGATCCTTCCAAGAGCTTTCGTAGAAATGATAGATTAGCAGTTGCTCTTCTATCAACCAGTGAAATTAGATGTAGTTCAGTGAGCACCGGGAAGTAGTCATGAGGGACATGATCTATCTTAAGTACATAGGCAGCGAATGATAAGAAGCGTCTTTGCACACGCTCTAGTTGGAGGGAGCTAGAGGTTGTATGTGGGTCCCATAACACGGAGCCATATTCTACAATAGATCTAACTAAGGAACAATAGAGCACTTTTATCGATGATTCTAGCTTGAATTCGGAAGCTATTCGCTTCACAAATCCTAGCACTTTTAGTACCCTACAACACGAAGATTCGATGTAAGAGTGAAAATCCAGAGTAGGGTTGTAAAGTATACCTAGGTCTTTCACGCTCATGACTGATACAAGGGAAGAATCATAAATCTTGTACTGGAAGGGGATAACAGATCAACTTCTAGTGAACGACATAGTTAGATACTTCTTCACATTAAGACTAAGTCCTACTGAACATAAGTAGGAAGCCACATTGTCTAAATTAGATTGAAGTAAGTGACAATCATCTATAGATCTAATTTTCAGGAACAGCTTGAAAAACAAGGAATTTGCAGTTTGGTATGATTTGTTTTAGGCCATTTAAGAATAGGGCAAATAGAAGTGGTGATAAGTGGCCACCTTGTGGAACACCGGACGGTACGAAAGAAACCGATGATTTATGCCCATTGGTCTTAATCCATTGTAATATGTCGGATAAATAAGACCTGAACCTAGACAAGAGAGGATCGCCAAAGCCTGTCTTGTAAAGAACTTGGACAAGAGCTGAGTGTTCTACACGGTCAAATGCCTTTGACAAGTCTGTATATATTGTATCTACCTGGAGGTTTTTTTCAAAGGCCTCAAAGATATACTTGTTAAAGATCATAGAGTTCGTTATTGTGGAGCGGCCGGGTCTGAAGCCATGTTGTTCATCAATCAGTACAGAGTTCACAGATGGTTGAATACTCTGGAGGACAAGTGAGTCGAACAGCTTAGCTAAATGGGATAATATAGAGATTGGTCTATAGTTCTTAACGTCGGATTTGTCACCTGATTTATGTATTGGAGAAACACAACTCATTTTCCATATAGAAGGGTAAACTCCTTCATCAAGTGAGCGTTGGAAAAGTAACAGTAGAGGAAAGCTAATGGAATTTCGAATATTGTACAATCGTATTATTATAAGCCGGGTTTTTAGCTATTTACACGTAGAGCCCGTGGAGGTATTATTGCGTATTATAATATCGCGTCGTTAAAAGTACGGAAATACAATACTTCGGTCGTAATAAGCCCATCGCCAACCACCCCATATCTTCCCCCACCACTTTTCATACATCCACAAGTGTACGAACGTTGCACGTCGTCGTCACTGACAAGTGACAGTGCAGACTGCAGAGTAGCTGTACTCGGCGTACAGTCGTGACTGGTGAAGACGGAAACCGAAGTTTGACTTATCTTTCACACGTCGTGCTCGCCTGTTGTGTAAATGCTGTACGTCTGTGGTCTACTACAATAATTCTAATCTGACATCGTAGCGCGTAGTATATTTAATACATCGTTAATTAACCATATCGATTGGTAATTGGTATATTGTACCAATATTATATGTTATACGATTTTGATTTGTACTGCACAAAATATAATATAATCTGTATATTTAAACGCGTTGTCGGCGGATAGAGCCGCGGTAGCACCGTTGTCGTTTTCACGATAGAAGTTTAGTGATTATCCTACATATTATATTTATAGCTGCGTGTGACGAAAACGTTTGCTTAACGATATAAAATGTATGTCCATACTGTAAATTATATGTATTTGGCCACGCTGTGGTTGTCGTTGTCATTAAGTAGCGATAGCCCAGCATTCGATAAAGGACCGGTAAACGGTTTCGGTATACATTATACAAGTGTAATATAAGACAGCTTACTGCCTGATTAGTTTTTTAGATTTTTCCGTGTTTGGTTTTTGTTGTTAGGAGGAATACATATATTTTTTATACCATTTTAGGAGTGTCCTGTGGCGATACCAACTCATTTTTTTCTCTACATTGTTAATCGGATGACCTTTTTGAAAATGTTGATGCATCTTAACAAATATTATCGTGAATCGTTTTAATTAGTTACCACAAAAACAAACAAACCATTTATTATATAATACATCAACTATTTCTTATTATACATACCTATACATATTCAATCAGTATTATTATTATGCGTCTATAAGCAATGATGGGTTTTTAAGCTATATAATAATAATAATAATAATAAAAAAAAAAAACTACTTGCTTTACTTTTTAAATATAAATTAAAATATAATATCCAACTATATAAATGTATAAGATGTCTTGATTTATTTTTTAAACTAAAGAGTATTTCACGGAGAAGGTTCATATAAAAGAAAATTTTAGAAAAGTCTACTGGTTTATAATATATTGGTAGCTATTGGTTAATCGGGCATGTTTGTTGATTTGTATTATTATCTTTTGCCGATATACATATATATAATATATACAAGAAGATCTGATAAGTAGTTCCAGAATTTAGTCTGTATAGTTATAGTCTATGTATTTATATAGTTAGAAATATATTATATATATATATAAATTAATGTTTGTGGGTAAATTAGACCTCTGGAAAGAAGATAGGTTAATTTACAAAGGGTTAAATTTGTTTTTTTTATTTATCGGATTTTAGTACGGTTAGGTTAGGATAGAATTTTGTGTAAATTGATTATATTAACCCACCGTAGGTGGAATTAAGTAAAAACTACAAACTTGGTATA